TATCAAAAGGATAATTTTGGAAAATCAACTTTTTTAAAGTGCAATAATTGTACTACCAAAAAAAGTTGAATTCCCCAAAATAGACCATTATTTTGGGACGGAGGGAGTAAATTTTTTTTTTTTAAATGCACAAATTGAATATTTTCATTCATTTCTAAATTATATGCATTCCATTATCAATGCAACCTATAACCTGTACATATATAGAATAATACATCTATCAATTATAATCTATATCCATTATCAATAATATCCATTTCATTATCAACTATCCAAAAATATTAACTTGTAACATCTTATTCTAAATATCATATAAGTCTATACCAACCAAGTATCATCTATCTAAATTAAATATTACATACAAAAACACCGAATTTCCAAAACAGATGATTGTACAAAAATAAATGTCTTCTATATACAGAACAAATGCTCTTCATACACAAAAATAAATATCTACGACAACCCACGCAAAAGCAATCTGTGAAAAAAAAATTAAAAAAAATAATCATTAACACTTGTTCAATAAAAATGACATTTCAAATTATAACAATCAATGTTAAAATAACTACGTGCTTCAATGCAATAATCATGCAGCATGTAAGAATATAATCAAGCAGCCTAATTAATACTGTTGCTTCCATTATATCAACTGGGGGATTGAAATATTTACACACAAACACATATAATAAAGCTTGACTTTCAAATGGGAGGTGCAGAGACGACTCGTATTTGCCTTATTTCTTAAATATTGGGAAGAAACTTCAATTGAAATATTTAAAAATAAGTTGCTTCAGCTGTACTTTCCACTTGCTCAATTAAAACATCAAAAAAACAAAACAAAAAAGCAAACAAATGCTTCACATCAGCTTTATAACTGAAATTTGGGTGACAAGTGAAAGCACGAGAAAACACCAAGTTCAGAGAGAAAGAAAAGAAACCACCAAGGCAAGAAAGTAAAAGCAAGTGAATTACGAGGTGGAATTTTGCCAATTTTGAATGCATAAACTCTCCAATATGCTTAAAAACCAAATTTAAGATATAATTTGCCAACCAATATAAAATTGAAGGCACCAGTAAGAAGAATTCACCTCACATGCAAATTTCCAAAGATAGCCAATAAATTTCAACTCCTTTGAACATACGGCAAACCAACATTGTAAAGGTATCAATAAAAATAAAATAAAAAATAAAAAAAGAGCACCCCAAATTCCTTTTGATGTAGACTTAATATGAACTATATCCAAAGCTTCCTGAAGAGTGAAAAAAGACATGATGACGTTCATATATAAATCAACTTCTCTGTGTTACAAAGCAACAAATTGTAAAGAATAAATTGCATCCTTCCCTTTCTTTAAGCTAATTATACTCTTAAACCAATCTCCAGAACCCATTACTGATTAAATTGTAGAATTTAACTTAATAAACCCCCGCAGTAAGGTACAATTCTTTCTTCTAATTGAATTATTTGTCAAACTAGAGTTCAATTTCTTCTTTTTTTGTCATTCAAAGGAAGAACCAAGCTAAGTCGCTAGGGTCAGGTATGTGCCTCATGTTTCACCATTCTACTCGATCAAGGTACATAGCTCTAGTTAAACCACATGTCACCATTTATTTTCCATCTATCTCAAGCCAGTTTAGTTTTGGCCTGTCTTCCCTTGCCAATAATTACCATCAATATGAACAATGTCACTTTTCCATATGGATATAGTTATTGGTTATTGGTCAACAATTTCAAAAAACATTCATAAAAATTCATAAAAATTTCAAACAAGCCCAACAATTTCTAACAAGTGAAAAACATTCATAAACATTCATCTATAAGCAAACTTGTTCAGCTGTGATTTGACTTGGGATAATCCTATTGATGAACAGGGTTTCATCATGTATCAAAATTGTGGTCACTCGAAAAGGCCAAAGTACATCTCAAAACTGTCAGCCAACTGTGTATTTCAAACAATTTGTGTTCCATACAGTTCCATTTGAGAACGAGAAAAAGTTATAAAAATAAAAGTGTTAGGAAATGTGCTCAACAAATATATACCAAGCTATCCAACAAGAAGGCATGACAGTGTTACTTAACCGTCTAAATAGAAGTTTATCTTCCATACATGTGCTTATATGCACATTGAACAAGAAGAAAAAATTAATTAACAAAGAGCATTCCAACCCAATTCATAACTGAGCTTAGAGAAACTCCAGGAGAGTAGGCAACCCCAATTTTTATTAAAATGCTATGCCTACCTTTAATAGTGTGTTCATCCTTTTGCTGAAAGTAATGGATAAACGTTGAAAGTTCTATCTGCTCAGGAACAAATTTTATTTCGGTTAATTACACTTTTTAACCTCTATAATTTGACTTAAATTTCACTTTGGTTCTATAGTTTTAAATTTGCACAGTTTGATCCCCACACTTCAAATCCTATTTCAATTTGGTCTTTCCATGCAAATTGGAGGCTAAAGTTAAAGATTTTGAGACATTTGTAGTCTCCTAAGGTGTACACGTCAGAAAAATTAATGAAAATTTAGACAGAAGGACCAACTTGAAACTGGATTTAAAGTGTAGGGACCAAGCTGTTCAATTTAAAACTATAGGGACCAAAGTGAAATTTGAGTCAAACCATAAAAGTAAAAAGTATAGTTAACCCATTTTATTATTAAAAAAAAGGGTTACACAGTGAGTCTATTGTTTTTCTCAGGCCATATATGCTTCTTCTCTATAAGTGAAGAGTTCCTACAATATACGTTCCTACAGAAATTATGGTCATACAAAAAATTAGTATTTAAGCAGATGGCACATAACCTAGTGATGTATTCTTTGTACAGTACAACAACATGAAGGGAAAGCAGCTTAACAGGTTGTATTTCATTAAAGAATGGGATATAGTTACACTATATCTAAGCACATCACAATCTCTGTGCAGTTGTGAATTTGAGATCTAATTTTTACAGTAATAAGTTTGATATCCTTTACCTATCCATATGTTACCTCAATGATGAGATAGAAGATAAATTATCCATCATTATTTGCCCCGTTGATGCCTAATCCTTTATTACTTCATTGTCCTTCACTGGCTGCAAACCAGAGCAAATAAGGAAGAGTATTATCACACACACACACACACAGAGATGGGATGAGCCCAGCATGCATATAAAACTCCCTTTTTTATAAGCAGAAGATTACCTCAACAATGTGACAAACATCACAAGAAGCATGGATTTGCCCTGTATTAACATATGACTGAGCATTCTCTTCAATATTCTCCAACCTGCAATTACACAGTTCAATATATTTCAAGTTGTTCGAGGTAAGGATGTTCCTAATTAAGTTGAACAGAAACATTCCGTCCACTAAATCCTATAAGGATTATCTAAGTAATAAATCATAACCAACAGATAACTACAAAAAGCAACACATCACTTAATGTCCGAGCAGATAACATCACTTTCTTCAAACCATAGTATTATTATTTAAGGGGGCTGCTATATATCACCTCTTTTTTTCACCATTTTGTATCACTGGCCTACTTGGCAAGATATCGTTTGCTTTTCTTAATTCCTTAATAATTTCTTCAACCAAGGAAACCAATCATGAGGATCCATGTAGACAGCGATACAAAATGATGATAAAAAATGGGTGATATATTGCATTTCTCATTATTTAATCATAACATTCCCAAGAATTAGAACAAGCTCCTGGGGACCATAGAATTTCTCAGGGGGAAGTTTTTTTTTGTTTTTTTTTATTAATCAGAGGAGTATACTCATATGAATACTACACATTGCCAAATTACCATGTGAGTAACTCAGCTTTCTCAATTGCAAAACTGATGAAATGCTACGAAAGGAAGAACATTTACTCTTCTGGACAGTAAATTTACCTATAGATATAATTAACCATAATTCCTCCACTTTGAAGAAGACCTTTCTCTGATCGATCTGCCATCCAATTAAGTCTTCCAACCATCTATTCAACCAAAAGACAATTTTTGGGTTTATTGACCAGTAGTAGGCTCTTTGATGATTTTAACTCAACCAAATATTATACTAAAAAAGAACCCTTAAGAAGAATATGATAACCTCATTAACAGATGGTCAAAAGAAATAGTTATGCCAAGAGACCAACAATTCTTCAAATTTTCTTTAAATAGCTCAGTGTTGATATACCATCTAACTTGAAATTTCAGATATTCAAAAGATGCATTGCATGATGAAAATAAAGTCCATCAAGTTATAAGCAATGAAATTGTAATTGCCACGAAGGAATGAGCTGTCACAAGTTACGGTGCACAACATACCGCTCCATTCTGTAAGTGGAAATTAGCAACAGAATCTAGTGCTTTCCCTCTCTTCTTTTCTTGCAGAAGATACCTGTAATCATAGAAATAATATATAATTTGAAGGGAAGTAGGCAACTCAAGAATTTCACATTTCATTTGTGTTGTAATTGAATAAAGAATTCAGAAAATCTAAATAAATAAATAGATTGATGCAACAACTTAGAATTATATAATCATCTTTCAGTTTTCATACTAGCTTCTTTCCTGCTACAATGACCAATAAACCTGAAAGCCTGGATGGCCTCTGCCACTTCAAATCTCTAGGTCTTCACTTGATCTAAAGGCAAATCAGATGGTTTTACTTACAGTTGAGCATTTTTTGATTAAAGTATAGTAATACTATTTCCATAAAGATTATCAGCTTTTGTTATCAAAATTCATGATCTTCCTCACAAACTAGCGCAGTTGGAGTATATGTGTCATACCTGGTGCATAATCGCATCAGAGGGGCTTCCAATACTGATATCAGCCTCTCAGATTTAGTCCACTCATGGTTGGTTGATGTCAACAAGTTCCACATTATTTCCATTGCATTTTTCTCACCAGAAAACTCCCTGCAATTGAAAATGTTACTATGAACACCGCAAAATATGTTGTCAAGTAATGCATCCACATTTTATGCAAAAGTTAAAAATAAAATCCTTGGTTTATGAAATAAATTAATAACTGATTATTTGTTAATAATTTCTTGACAGCTAATTTATGTGGTCAAAATATTTTCAAAATCATACAATAGATCACAGAGGAAAAGAAAAAGAAAAGGCGAAACTTGGAGTTTGCTCAATCAGCAGTATGCTTCATAAGGCTTAATCATTTTCTGAAACTCTATAATTATTGCCTACAATGCCAAATAAGAAAAGATAAAAAGAAAAAGCAAAAGAACAAAAGAGAACTTCTTTTGGGAGTTGGCCTTTTTAGCTTTTTTAGTTCGACTTATTTTTGCCTTTAGTGAACTTTTTTTAAAATTGACTCAAATGACTTCACTTTATAGATTTGTCTCGATTAGACAATCCTAAAAATTTAATAATTAGAACTTTTGAAAAAAATTCATAAAAGACAAAAATAAGCTAATTTTTGTAAGATCTTTTTGCATAAAATTTGACTTTTTTTTTGTCTTTAGTGAACCTTTTCAAAATTGACTCAATTTTATTTTATTTTTTTTAATTTTTAGAATCATCTAGTCGAGCAGACCTAAAATAGTAAAAAAATGACTCAATTGAAAAAAAATCAGAAAAGATAAAAATAAGTCGAAAAAATAAGATGGCTTTTTAGTTTTCCAGAATAAGATCACGTGTTAAGCATATATGTATTTGATATTATTATTTATTATTAAGGGTAGTTTAGCCTTTGGTACTTTTAAGGTTTGTTTAGCTTAGATATATATATATATATATATCTCACTTTGTATCCTTTATTTTCTATGCTCAATAAACAGTCGTTATTTTCTTCTAAACTTGTTTATCATGGTAGCAAAGCAAGGGGTTAAGCTTCAACCTTAACTATTGATTGTTCATGCCTAATGATTGTTGTTTTGCTGCTGGAGCTCATTGGATTGGTCTCAATCGCTGAAATCTTTCAACAAAGTTGTTTACGACTTCGTATCTCTCTCCCTTCTCCTTTGTAACTACATTGTTGGGTTACCCATTGACTTTTCTCTTCTCCGATTGGTTCATGGTCCTATTTGCTTCGCACCCACGACTGCCACAGTGCCCTACGATTGCTGGATTGCTTCTGGGTGTCTTCAAAACAGTCTCTGGTTTCTGAAATAGCCTCTGCAGCTTAATTTGAGGCTTTGTTGCTGGTTCTAGTGCTTCGTCTGCTCTCTCTGTCTCTTTTGAGGGCTTCACACTGTTTGTTTGGCTACTGTGGTGCTTCGTCTACTCTTTGTCTTGGCTATTCTAGCGTTCGTTGCCTTCTGTGCCCTGTCTAGTAATCTCTGGTCATTTGCTGGTTCTATTCCTTTGGCTGGTGAGTTTTCTTTTGTGTTTTTCTTCATCATAACTCGTGGTACCTCTGATTCTCTCCAAGCTATTGGTGTTAAGTTAGTAGGTGATAGTTATAACTATTGGGCATATGTTATGAAGAATTTTCTTCTTGGTAAAAATGTTTGGACCTATGTTACTGGTGATTCCTCCATGCCATCTGACGTTAAACTTGAAAACTTTAATGCACTCCTCTCTACATGGCAAGTCACTAATGCAATTACTTGGATCAACAACTATGTGGATCAATCGATTGGGTATTCATTTTGAAAACTTACTACAGCCAAAGAAATTTGGGATCATCTCTCTCGTCTCTATGTTCAGTCCAATTTTGCAAAACGGTATCAGTTAGAACATGAGATTTGGACTACTTCTCAAGGTGATAAGAGTATTGAAGAGTTTTATTCTGTTATGACTGTGTTATGGGATCAATTGACCTTTATAGAGCCGAAGGCCTTGAGCACTCATACAAAATATTGTACCTATTGTGAGGAGCAGCGTTTGGTTTAGTTTCTCATAACACTTAGAGCTGATTTTGAGGGGCTACATGGTTCCATTCTTCATCGTAGTCCTCTTCCCACTGTTGATTCTGTTGTGAATGAATTGTTAGCTGAAGAAACTCATTTCAAGGGCATTCCAGGCAAAGGTTTACTTCCCCTGCCAAGTCAGAATGTTCTAGTTGTACCTACTAGTAATTAGAGTCGCTCCTCCGTTCACACACCCCTAGATGAATGTAGTTTTTGTCATTAGAAAGGTCATTGGAAGGCTTACTGTCCTAGACTTGCTGGTCGTTCTCATTCTGGTTCATCTTCATCTTGGAAGAAGGGTAATGATCACTTCTCTATGTTGTCGATGCCTTGGAAAAAGGGTTGGAACTCACATACAGTAGCTACAGTTCCCTCTGTAGAGGATTCTGGCCCTTCATTAACTTCCCTTGCCGAGCAGGTTCATGCCATGCAGAAACTACTCTCTACCACTATGCCTAATGCTCTCTCGGTCTCTTCCTCTTTACGTTTGCCTCCCTCTTCTTCTTCAGGTATTTCTCGGTCCACTTGGGTCTTTGACTTAGGTGCTACTCATCACATGGCAAATGATTCCTCCTTATTTACTTCTATTTTTTTCCCTTCTTCCACTCCTACTGTTATGACTGCTAATGGTACTCCCATGCCGTTAGCAGGCGTTGGTTCTATTTTGACTAATTATCTCTCTTTCTGATATCTATTGCATTCCTCAATTGACTTTAAATCTCATATATGTTAGCTAACTTTGTGAGCTTGATTATCATGATCACTTCTCTTCTTCTGGTTGTGTTATGCAGGATCCTCGTTCCAGACAGCAGATTGGGATTGGCCATAAGTTGGATGGGCTATATGTTATTGAGCAGCTTCATGTTCTATCGCTTGCTACAACTTCCGTTGATTTGTCCTCTATTCGTCTTAGTTCTCAGTCCTCTATGGTATTCTCGCCTTGGTCACATTTCTAGCTTTCGTTTATAATATTTAGTTTCGATTGGTGTTTTGGGAAATTGTAGTACTCATAATATTTTAGATTGTAGTTTTGCAAACTTACAAAATTTATTGCTTTACATTTTAATAAAAATACTACTATTTCTTCTAATCCTTTTATCTTGTACATTCTGATGTGTGGGGTTCTGTTTCCTATTCCTATTAAAGGGGGTTCTAAATACTATGTGTCCTTTATTGATGATTACACTCGTCATTGTTGGATTTATCTTATGAAACATCGGTCTAAATTTTCTTCTATTTTTTCTACTTTTCTTGCCATGATTCATAACCAATACTCTGCTATTATCAAATGCTTTCATTGTGACTTAGGTGTGGAATATCGGGATACTAGTTTTCTTCAATTATTACAATATAATGGTACTCTTCAATAGTCTTCATGTACTGAAACACCTAAACGTAAGCATCGCCATATCATGAAGACTGCTCGTACTTTATTGCTTTCCTCTTCTGTTCCTAGTTCCTTTTGGGGTGAGGATATTCTTACCGTTGTTCATCTTATTAGTCACATCCCCTCCCAAGTGACCTCTGGAACTAGGAACAGAAGAGGAACAACGGTAAAGCCATCCCAAAAGGAGACAGAGGATATCATGAAGACTGCTCGTACTTTTGGGACAAAACAAGTACAACCAAACAAGTACAACCAAACGCGCATATCATGAAGACTGCTCGTACTTTATTGCTTTCCTCCAACAATGCTGAAAAAATGCCATAGTAAAGCCATCCGGACCCGGTGCCTTATCCCCACACATCGCCCGTAAAGCCCCAAACATCTCTTCCTCCGTAACAGGGCGCTCCAAAGCCACCCTATCCGCCTCCGAAATCATATCAAACTGAACCCCGTCCAACCCTAGCCGCCACTCCCCTGTTTGCTGCCGAAACAAATGCTGATAAAAATCCACAATCCCTTTCCCAATCTCCTCTGTCGTATCTAGATCGCGACCCTCCACCCGCAACCTGCGAATCTAATTCACCCGACGATGGACATTCGTCATCCGATGGAAGAACTTAGTATTACGATCTCCATCCTTGAGCCACAAACACCGGGATTTCTGCCTGAAACACACCTCCATACGAGAGATATGGACATACTCCTATCTGGCTATCTCCTTTCTAGAAACGTCATCAGTCAACAAACCCCCATTAACCTCTAACTCATCCAAGGACTGGAGTAAAGACACCACCGCTGCCTTCTGGCCCTCTAAACGACCAAACACCTCCTTATTCCATCCTTTCAGGTCCCTTTTAAGCAGTTTCAATTTCTGAGCCAACATACAACTAGATGAGCTAATAACTACATAACTATTCCACCATTCTCGGACCCTCTCCAAGAAACCATTCGAATGCAGCCACATATTCTCAAAATGGAAAGGAGTGGGGCCCTTACGAAGCCCATCACTATCAAGTAAAATGGGCCAATGATCCGACACTGGACAAGGTAGGCAAATTTGAGCAACATCCAAAAAATGCTCCTCCCAAGCCCCAAAAATGAGAAATTCGATCAATCCGCGACTGACTCAGCCCATTCGACCAAGTGAAACTCCCCCCTTGAAGAGGCAAATCAATCAAGTGCATCTCATCAACAAAGGAACAGAAAGACCGCATCCACTGCAACCCCTTATTGCTTCCCACCCTTTCACCCGGCCACCGCACCATATTAAAATCACCCCCCATGCACCAAGGCTCTGACCAACGGAAAGCCACATTTTCTAACTCAACCAAGAACTCACCTCAGTCTGCATTCCACACCGAACCATATACCCCAGTAAACACCCATCGAAACTGATCCTCCACACACCGAAACAAACAAGACAGTGCTGCAGTACCATAGCTGGCAAATGGAACCATTTCACAAACCGTCCTCCCCAAATATCGCGTACCACCGCCTCCCCTAACACATCCATCTTTGTCTCATGTAAACACACCACATCAGCTTGCGCACTACGCAAAGCTACTTTTACTGCCAACCTTTTGTCCTTATCATTCAAATCCCGCACGTTCCAAGAAAGAATTTTTAATCTCATTTCAACATAAGTGGTCCCCCATGAG